AAAAAGAACACGTGCACGCAACAAGTTCATGTATCTTGAAAGTGTAATGAAATTAAAAATGAGAGAAAAGGAACCACATTGGGTGAAAAAGATACACGGCAAAAACATACATAAAAATTCCCAGAGGGAATCAGAGAGAGCAAAATCAGTGAAAAGCAGAATGTCTGTTGTACACAAAACAGTGCCAACCATGAAATAAAAATATGTACAAAGAAACCCTTTAAACATGGTGATAGCCTATTTTCACAATTTCATTCACTGCGTTTTCATATATTCTATTCTGCTGGATATAAATCAACATTCTCACAGTAACTGCATTGTTTACGCCTAAGTTTTTCCCTACAAATCACAATGAAACGTCACAAAATTGGCAATCCATACTTTTGGGACCCCTCTACAATTTTGTTTAACTAAATTGTTTACTACAAGCCTACAAGTTTCATTTTTATTGCTAGAAATGTGAAACTGAACAAAACTGAAGTTTTGGCAGTTGAAGACCAGAAAGAAGTCAAGGCTGAAGACAGGCATGTCGTTAAAAAGAGTACTGCCGTAGAAATGATAGAATTAGCTCTTTCGGCACGGACATTGCTCACTAAGCCTTAAACATGATGAAATTCTATGTACATCTTCATGGTCTTCATTATTATTCACGGTGTTATTTCAATGTCACTCCTCACACTGCAGTACAGTACAGTGCAGTCGTATCAATGTTGCAGAGTACTCCGTGCTGTGAGTGTTTTAGGGACAGTGAGTTTCTTCGCCTGTAAAAAACACAGGAAAGTATCACCACAGCCACTTACTTTATCTCACCAAAACTGTGTAGTCGTAACATCCAAATCAGCAAGTCACGCTGAAAACCATTTTGGAAAATTCCTTGCACAAATCACGGTGTAAAAGGCCAAGGAGATAGAACACACCTTTCCAGTCCTCAGTTTCAGCAGTGCGCCATCATCATCAATCAGTTTATTTATTCCGCACACAATACAAGTACGCTGCGATGTATGACGTCACTGCCGGGCGCGCGCGCGCGCTAGTTTCATATCAACCCGGAAGTCTTAAGGAATCATCGGAGAAATTTGGACTTTTTCCCAATTGTTTCCCTCGCAAGAATTCTAGGAGTCAAAATTTGAGATGAATGAATAATTTCCACACCAGAAAAATCCAGATATCAAAAAAAATTACTCATGAATATTCAGAAGTTAATTTTCAGAGCCAAGTTCAAAGGTCACCATGATGTGGTAAACTGATCAACTTGATAACAACAAAATCAGCCAGTCGCGCCGGTAATCGTGTGTGTTATTTCACAAATTCAAGTGCTCCGTGCTTCTTTGGATAAAAATGGTTTCCACTTCGCGGACAGATGCATGTGTTATTGGGGCAGGTATTTCGGGCCTTGCAACGGCGAAATGCCTCCAGGATGCTGGCTTTGCAGTGGTTGTTTTGGAGCAGAGCGATCGCGTTGGTGGCCTTTGGGCGTTCCGGGAGCGTGGATATGGGGTCATGCGGTTTACACACATGTGAGTTGATTCGTGAAGATGCATAGGGGTGATGTTTCGTTATCTTTGTTTGAAGTTAAGCTGATTAAAATGAACCATGGTCATGATGGTAGATGTGTTACGCCCCAACTGTAGCATCAGTCCATAGTTGGACCGGCCCAACTGTCCGAATATAGCAGAGAATGACAGAAGTTTAATGTGTGCATGATGTGCCATTGCTTGTGCCAACGTCATTTTGTTTACGTCATCAACTTGTGCTTTTAGAAGAAGTTTTTTATACAGATTAAGTGCCATATTTCAGACGAAATATATCAGGAGTGAACTGCATAAATCTGGAGAAGGTTGAGAAGTTTTCTACAGAGATAGGCCACCCTTGGCACCAATAGTTGAGCCAGCCCAACTGCAACACCATAGTCGGGACCGTCCCAACTAAACTGTTTAAATAGCTTGCCACTGGCAAAAGGACAGTTTTGAAGCACTCCCTTTTTCGGCTCGTTTTCCACTTTTTGTTCAAATGAAATTGAACTCTTCACAGCCTTGACAGTCTGACTTTTGATGCTAGCAGCTTCCAGATGGCAAATTTAAATAATAGCCAAAATCTTACCTAAATACACAGTTTCAGTAATACACTTTTTAATGCAGTGCTATTTTTTTCAGTTCTCTCAGAATTAAGTTTTCATATTCAAAATTAGTAAATATTTTCCAATTGTCAAATTGGCAATAAAGCTGACTGGCAGCTGAACCCTGTGTTGAGGGTCCAAAAGTTTAGGATTTCTATAAAAAATCCTACCCTTTGTAAACGTTCTTTCCTGGGGAAGGAGGTCATGTTAAAGGACTAGTGGGCTAGAGATACCCCCAGAATTGTGGGGTCTGACGTCCGCCCAGGGGGGTGGACGTCAGACCCACAGTTCTTGGGGGTACATGTAGGCTAGAGATGCGAAGTCAAGGAGAATAGTACAGGTCCCCTGCATAGATGTTGAGTGTAAAAGGCTGATATGCATGGTCACTCAATCAGTGGACAATTGGTCAATCTTGAAGTGTTAGCGGAAGGCCTTTTCTTTGTAATTCACAGTTTTGGTCCAAGTGGCGTTTTGAAGGTAGGAAGGAAAACCTGAGATTTCCTTACAAGATCAACCAATAGCACAGCCCGATTGTGCAGATCAATCACTTCATCTACATACATTGCATAATAAAACTGGAATTTACTAATTTTAGGAGCAAACCGAATTTTAGTTTGAAGTGTCCGTTTGAATTGTCACGGCTACTTTTCTTATCTGTTTCAGCAACATATCCAAACACAACTACTGTTTCTCTGATTATCCATTTCCCGATGATGTGCCTGACTTCCCGCACCATTCAGACATGGCAAAATACATTGTTGATTACATGACGCATTTTGGGCTGGACAAGATCGTCCGGTTCCAGACGAGAGTGGTCTCCTTGAACCGGCAGGGTAAGCTGTGCACCTGAGTGAAAAGTCCACTCAAGAAGCACTCGTATTCAATATACATTAAAGGCATTGCAAAGAGTGCAGAAAGAAAACTGGTGAGATTTATCCTGACCTTTTACGGAGTTAAAAATAGTTTTGTGAGGTACCTCAAGGTAAAATGTCTAGTGCTCCCTAAAGTGGACCGTTTAACTTTTGGTAAATTTTGTCCATCAGAAGCAATAAAATTACTCAAAATCTTAAGACAGATACAACTTGCTTTGAGTTTTATCCCCGTCAGCACTGTACAGTCTGACAAAATGAATCCCGTAACTTGATTCAAAAGGTTGCCAGTCAAGTTTTTTTCAGGAGGCATACTTTCAATTACACCCTCTTGTGAGACAGTAGCATTGATCATCTATCAGTGGGTTATATGGAGATCTACATATATGAATAACATTATCTGGGCACTGGTCTACCAGCAAATTCGCTGCTCCCAGTCCTGGATTCTGTAAACAAGTGAAAATTGCTTACTTTGGCTTTGTTATTTTCCTGCGTTTTCAATGTGGGTAGGTGAAGAGTGGATAATTAAAACAGCCCAGGTAGACGAGGATAAACATGGCAGAGAAAAACTCGGGGAACAAGAAATCTTTGTGGCGAAGTATGTGGCCGTTGCATCCGGTCACCACGCGACCCCGAACCTGCCCAACTTGCCCGGCCAAGAGTCATTCAAAGGTATCTAGATGTTCCTTACGAACATCCACAGACACACACCCCAGTGAATGTGAACATTGCCGTTGCCCTCGACAGTTCACTTGTCAAAGAAGAGGGACCCGACGGACTGTTTTACGTCTTTTGTTTCAGGAGAAATCATCCACAGCATTTTGTACAAGGATGCGATAACCAGTGGCATCGTGGGTAAGCGTGTGCTGGTGGTAGGCATCGGCAACAGTGCAGTGGATGTCGCTGTTGATGCAGCAGCAACTGGAAGGTATGGGCCACCGTTGGAGTTTTTCATTTTAATTGATCAAAGTTAGTGACCTGATAATCAGCTGTCAAAGCTCAGTAATCAGTTTATCAGCCAGCCAGCCAGTCCATCTAGTGAGTTTCCTTTCCATTCTTTGGGGCATCAGGGCTGTCCATCCATCTACCCATTCAGGCACCAGTCAGTCACTCAGGTGGTCCCTTGGTCACCTGGTCACGTAGTCTCTATGCTACTCAGCTCTTTGGTTGTTTGGTCAGCCAGTCTTTCGGTTGGTCTGCTTTCTGCCAGTCAGTCAAGGGATGTCAGCTCTACAGCTGTTAAGCAAATCAAAAAACTTTCTGTCTCTAATTCTACAGATGATTTGACTTTTATTGGATAGATCCCGATCTGTCTACCTCAGCACAAGGTCAGGTGCCTGGATCGTTCCCAACTACTTATTTGGCCTGCCAGTTGATCTGTATGCATCTCGGCTGTTACTGTGGTTGCCATGGCAAATCTCCTCACAAATATTTGAACCCATAATGTCCTTGTTGCAGGGGAGACCTAAAAAGTAAGTCATTTGAAAGTGTGGAATAAATGTCGCCTCATGAAACTATTAGACCGAGACCAGGAAAAGTAAGATTCCTAATTTTCTGTTTTGTTTTGTTTTCTTTTAACTGCTAAGGTACAATCTGAATCCCAAGAAGCGATTTTTACAGTCACAGCCCACCGTGAGCCCCACCTTGATCCACCACATCCAGCGAGGTCACATCAAGGTCAAACCTGACATTGCGCGGATCGAGGGCGGGACAGTTCACTTCGTGGACGGCTCGTCGGCCGAGGTGGACCACATCATCTTGTGCACGGGGTACCACATCCGCATCCCTTACCTCTCCAATGATTTGAGGTCCGAGGTACTGGACGAGTCATCCAACTCCATCAAGGTGAGGAAATTTGAATACTCTACTTTTGAGGAGAAAAAACATGTCAAGATCGTGTAGTGTTGTAGGCCCTTGTTGAGATTTCTATGCTCGGAGGTAACCTCTATCATTCCACTTTAAAAAAATTCTACTGACATGCAATTGCAATATCATTTATGCATTCAGCTTGAAATATTTCTTGACCTCATCAATTTCAGCCTATCCTGTTGTGGTTGGTAGTATTGCCATTGAAATAACATTTCATTGAGAAGACGTGTTAGACCTCTTTCAGTCATTGTCTGTTTTTGCTTTTTCTTAATGGAATGTTGAACTAAATGTTTCTCTTTGTGCTTGTACCTAAATAGTAAGTAGTTTTAGAGTTTTTATTTAAGATTTTCTTATAGATTAGTTTTAGAAATTCTGAGAAACACTATAAGTCCATTGCAAACACGAAAAATCTGTACGATGTTGTGAAATACCTGTGACACCTGTTTGTGTTGGAGATGCATGTATTGTGTGCTAACATTTTTCTTCATCCAAAATAGGTCACAAGGAGGGTTTTCTTGTGTATTTACTTAATTCTTTCCGCCAGCTTTTCAAGAACGTCTTCAGTCCAACCATCGGGCCATCGCTGGCCTTCATCGGCTTTGTTCAGCCAGCATCGGGGGGCATCCTCAGCATGTCCGAGACCCAAGCAAGATGGTTCGCCGAGCTCTGCAGCGGTCGGGTCAAGCTGCCCAGTCAGGAGGCTATGAGGGCCAGCATACTGGAGGATACGGTAAGCCAGTGTGTGTTCGAAAGTTGTGGCTATGGCAGGAAATGACATGTATGCCTATGACCAGCCACTGGCTCACGGCTGCAGCCCTTTCTCATAGACACGTGTTACTCCTAGCCGCAGCTAGTAATTTGGACATAGCCTTAATGCTATTCTTAAAACTTGCCAAAGAAATATACGATGAGCTTAAACTAAACTTGAAACTAAGATGCTTAGGACTTATTAATCAAAATAACTTGCATCTCTGTAACTCTCGAATCACTGCCTGATTTCATAGCACTGTAGAAAATTTTGCTAGTCAACGAGCCATGCTGAAATCGGCAAAGTGGTGTCGAGAACCAGTCATGAGAAATACATGTACACCATGCATGGCAGCTCAGCTGGTAACCCACTTCTTTGCAAAACAGTTCTTTGCTCATGGTTTCCCTGTGGCATTGAGAGCAGATCCATCAAATTTAGATGTCTTGTGTCTGTCCCAGGAGGCAGTCAGGAGACGCTACGCGGCGTCGGCTCGTCACACCATCCAGCGAGACCCAATCCTGTACAACGATGACCTGGCGTCGAGGTTTGGCGCCAAGCCCCAGCTGTGGAGACACCCCAGCCTGGCATGGAGGTAGGCTAAAGTCCAGAATTTTCTGCTTTCTGAAAGTCAAATTCTGCTTTCTTCTGCCTTCTAAATTTTAATATACATGTATGTGACCAAAGGGTTATCAGATAACCCTTTGGTCACATACATGTACTGTACATATGTACTGTAGGCCTACATTTACCGTACATCTACAAGTATCTTTGGCATAATGATACATGTAGGGCCTACACGCACCATGCCACTGTGATCTTGGACTGGTCGCTGTCCCTATTGATTTATTTATAAGCCATGAGACGTCTGGGCACTATGTAGGCAACTGAGACCAGCATGATCTCCGCGGTGCGGAGCTGGAGGAAATCAATACCAAATTCTGCGATTATGCAAAGGAAAGACAGGAGGGAAAACGCTACCAAATGTTACTTTCAAAGTGAGTTAAACAGTGAAAATGAGTTGTCATTCCTAATTTGGGTTCATATTTATTTGATTAATTGTGCAAAAATGATCAAAAATAATTAGTTGTTTTATTTATTTATTTTTTTGTTACCAAGAATTGCCTTTTCCGCTTTCTACCCCCCAAATCCGCAATTTTTGCAGATTTTTCGTAACGCAGAAAGCTCTGGACTTTAAGCTAGGCACGGCTTGGCTGTCTGCTTCAATATCGGTCCATTTACTGTTACAAGTACGATCCAACAAAAAGCATGGAGCCTTTTTTGTTCTTGTCTGTGCAGGTTACTCATTGGGAGTTGTGGAGCAGCGCAGTGGCGTCTGAATGGTCCAGGGAAGTGGGATGGGGCACCAGACACTGTGAGGAGTGTTCCAGTGACAGGATTGATGCACTATGGGGTCCTGACTGTCATTGGTCTGGTTGTTGGACTCCTAGCATGTATCTTGCTAGCTGTCTTGTGAAAATATCGAGGGAGCACGTCAACAATAGGGAACGTTCCTGTACCATGTGAAGCTCTTGTAGTTAGTATTACTTTGCAACGGAACAAACTATACCTAGAGTCGGTATCAGAGTTTGGGCTGGAAATCTCAAATTTTGAAAATAAGATATTTAAAGCTACTTTTCAGAGCTAGTGAGGCAAAATAGTTACAGGGTTTTGTGGGTAATGATACAAGATGTGTGTCAGTTGGTCCCAATGTCATGTATTAAGACTTTAATGCCTTCTCTGTGAGTGAGGTGAAATATCCAAGAATGGGCACTTTTAAAATCAACTCAGTGTGTATATTTAAATCTTTGAATCTTTGATTTTTTACGTCCACGGTGCTATCACAGTACTTTCTGTGAATTTTTAATTTGAAGAATTGAAATCGTCCAAAACGCTGAAATGTTTTGTACACCATTCTTTGTGGTTGAATCATGAAAATTGTATTTAATTATTGTTAGAATATGGAAAGTCTTTCTTGTATACTAAATAATCTCTGTCATTTAAAGATACTGTATTTTCCTCAATACTTTCTGCACATTAGTTATGGTTTGTAGTGTGAACAATTATTTGAACATTGTGCCAATATGTAAAGTAGAATACTCTAAATATGCTTCGAATATTTTTGATACAGTATGTGATAAAGTGAATTCAATCACTTGGATTTATATAAATTATATCCATATGCATTTCTTATAAGCAGGGTTTCTTTGTTGAAGTATCATACTGTGTATGATAATTCTTTTAAATTAATGAATGTAAATCATATTTGACACCTTACTTTTTGGGACTTTTGTTGTTGAGTTTCCATGCCATCACTACAATGTATTCTAGCTTTCCAAAATTAAATTATGAAATTCTAAAATGTTTGATGAAATAGTGGTTTGCCCTCACTTTGTATTCCAGATTTGCTTATTTCATTTCACCAAAAAATTATGCAAATTTCAACTACTGAATTATGCAATCTTTGTACAATTATTAGAGCAATAAAAAGCAATCAGCAGTGCAATGAATTCGAATTTCTTTAAGTACAGGTCATATAAACATCTCAGGAATTTTCGGGTAGTGAATTATTCATAATATGTAAAGATGCTAAATTGAATAACAATGTAAAGGTAATTAATAGTTAACCTAAATTTAATACCAATTAACTTACCCAAATTCTAACTTGCTATTTACATTATGAAGGTTGAAATTATAGTTTATCTACAATTTGATGCGATTAAAATATATCATCTTTATTCTGTTACTCGTGTTTGTTCTGGAGAAGCAAAATGATCACCTTATGCCGAATGGAACCCTCCGTTTTATCTCGCTAATCATAAAAAAATCTGAAGTTACACTTAGCCGCACAACTCTGTTTTTATTTGGTGTATCGCCCGTGGAGGTGGGTGTTTAATATAACTAAAGAAATGAGGGATTTATTCGTTCGTCAAAGATAAGCTAGTTCCAATCCCATTTCATCATAAGATATCCCTTCTTTGTTATCAAGCCAATCATAAGTTCTTGGAGGTTTTATGTTTCTTCGGTCTCCTTGGACTTCCGAGTGTGAATTTCCGTTTCTGAGATGGCACTGGTAGCTGACCAACACTGGCCGGCGTTTCTGCCTCCACACGAGCCCCAGCTGATGTCGCCAGGGTAATCGCATGCGCTTTGTCAGCGGGTGGAGAAAGGTCTGTCTTGTCATCAGCACGGTTAATACCGGTCAAACTCTGTTCACCGGTTTCCATGGGAACTGGAGCTTCCTTTTTCGTCTGTGTCTTAAATCTCTTCCTCTTCTGAAAGAAGTTGCATCTCCATCGTTTCTTTTTGCTCAGTTTCTGATCTGGTAATTTCTTCTCGGAGGAGCTGACGTCGTCTGCATCACCTGGGGTATTTTCTTTACTCACAGCGGCAGTGTAATAAGGAGAACTTTTCGGAGAAGCGTCTGCATGAGGGCCGAATATCGTGGTTCCTTGGAGATTGTCGTCAGCCACACTCGTTGCCCCTCTCATCCCTTGTATGTCTTGCGGATCATCTGCATCATCGCACGTGATGAAATTATCTTCAGTGTCTTCACTGAAGCCATCTTCGGGATTGCAGGCACGGAGAAAGGATGCGTTTCTGAATGTCCTGAGAACTTCATCCATCCCAGGAACGCGAGGAGAGCCGACGACTCCGATCGCCTCCCCGTCAGTATTTGCGGACTGTACGCTGTCGCTGCTCATAAAACTTTTCCGAGGTAGTGGGGAGCTGGTGGAAAGTGGAGAGAGGAGATGATCTAAACTGTCAACGTCGTCAACTTCTCCGGAAGCGTTAAGAGGATGGGATTGGTCTTTTAATTTCGCTTGATTATTTTCTTCTTCACTTGTGGGAGTACGAGGGCGGCTGGCTGTCATCGGCGAGCTTCCCATCACCTTTACCTGCTGATGGTCATGTTGCAAGAGACAAGAACCAGTTTCTGATCTCTCAGTTTCATCTTCGCCCGGTTCCCCAACCATTTCAGCCGACGATTTTTGCTCAAGGCCTGCTTCATCTTGCAGCTGCCCCGTGTGGCCTGCCAAGGATTTTACTGGGGAACTCCAAACGTCTTCACTCAGTTTCTCGGCAGTTGGCGTTGGCAGTCTTCCTTCAGGAGTTGCCGACTGCATGCTTTCACAGGAATCACGAAGTGTATCATGTGCTGTTTCTGTACACGGATCTGCGCTTGATTTGGCCTCCAATGAAACAAATACATCTGAGGATGACTTATGAGTCAAGTTTGTCTCGCCGTCACTTTCTTTAGTACATGATGTGCTTTGTGACAGTTCGTTTAGTTCCTCCAAATGTGTCGGTACTATGCCTATCTGCAGATCTTCCGAATTAGTACTTTTACAGGGACAAAGTGCGGCCTCGTCATTGTTTTCTTCTCGTGCAGTTGTATACGGTTCTTCCGTTTCCTCTGTTTCTGGACTATCGTCTTTTTCAGTAGAGATCATTGTGTTTAGGCCACGGTCAACATTTTCGATTTCGCCTATTTCACTTAGTCGACTGCTTGAGATGCAACTACTATCAGGCGACACCAGTTGACCCACCAGCGTTTGATTGTTGGCATTTTTGTTTCTCAGTCTCGCTTTCTTCCCCGTTAGCGTTGATGGACTACTTTCAGCTTCACCCTTGTCAACAACCGTTGGAAATCTGCACCTTTCTACATCTTCATCAGGAGCCGGTTGATAGTCCTCAGTCGTTTCGTCCTTCCCTGCGCCTGCAGTTTCATCAAAGAGCCCCTCCTCTAGAATTTTCCTCACTCTGGCAGGAGGCCTTTCTGCTTTAACCTTCGGTTCGTCCGTTTTTCCGAGGGCTTCGAAGAAAGCAGCGTTTTTCCAAATCCCTTTCCCAGGAGAAGAGTCGATCCCGGACTCTCCACTTTTCTCTCTTGCGACCACAGTTCCATCCCTGCGTTTGTGACCGTCTTTTTGACTTGAATGTAATTTCTCCCGGTGGTGCTTGAAGTTAATGTGTCTCTTGCCGTCCGTCCCCTTTTCATCCTTAAACCTCTCCTTGGACACTTTGGTTGACATTTTCTCCAACTTCTCCATATTTGACACCGCCTCTTTGACAGGCGTGTTCAGCTTCAGAGTGCGGTCTCGAACTTTTGAGGGTCGGATACCATCCTTTCCACTGACGTTATGTCTTGAAATCCTCTCGAAAAACGAGATACGGTTCTTAACTTTTGGTGCATTCTCTGGGGAAATGTCATCTGTCTCGGGAGAGATATCATTTTCTGTCTTCGGAGATGATGCGCTTTGCTTTATATGACGTTTAGCAGTGCGTTTTCCTGATCCGCTTAATCTGCCAGGTCTTTGGTGTTGTTTCCTCAGGTGACGCGGCGAAATCTTCGGTCTTCCTTTCTCCGATTTTGATGGCAGAAACCCATCTGGTGTAGTTTTCTCCCTATTAAATGTGACTCGCCCTGAACGGCCGGCTGGTGTTCTCAATTTGGTAGTCCCCTTCCTCAGCTTGCGAGGGGAGACAACTGTCTTACCTTTGGTCGGCGAGGAATCCCATCTCTTATCCCTGCCTCTTCTTTTGCCGGCCTCCACCCTGGGTTTGTGCCTGGATGCCGTGCCCAGGTCCTCACTTGACGACTCTTCGTACACGGACTCAAAAGGCTCTACTTCCGAACTGGATGACACATCAGCCTCGTCTCGATCTTTGTCGTGCGTCTCAACCATCGTGGTTTCTTGCTTTTGCGCGACTCTGGATGACCTACTTCCAGACGGCGCCCCTATCTCTCCCGATTCTTTCTCAACTTCTCCGTCTTTTTTCTTCCCGGATTTAAGCCTCTGCCTAGGTTCCCCTTTCCTCACAACTGGACATCGCACGTCTTGCTCTCCCTTTTCTGGAGTTTTTCTCCTAGCAACTTTCTCATTTTCCAGAGACCTTCCGTACTGCTCACTCTCTGACTTCTTCTCTGGTCGTGCTGGGATTCCTTCCATCTCTACCTCACTAACTGGCGTGGGTTCATACAGCAACTCTCGGTACTTTGTAACCAGTGCTTTGATGTCATAAAACTGGTCCTTAATGAAGTTGATGCTTTCCATGGGGAGTTCCAACTGTACCGGTTCTATCCTCGATTCTTCATCGCAGCCTGGACTTTGGATGGATGAAACCTGCACGGATTTGTCAGAGGTCTTAATGATTTCGCTTATGAGGATACACTCCGAGTCGCAAACGGCATCAGCAAAATCATCGTCGTCACTGCTAGCTTCGTGACCTTTGGCATCTTGAGTCAGTAGGTCGTCCGAGGATCCAAATTTGTCTCTGGCATCCACATACGTGTCTGAAGACTCGCTGCTTGGTTGCTTGGCAACGAGAGGTGCATCTTGTTTTTTTTCGTCGCCTTGACGGCCGCGTCTCGGAGGGGAAGCCTTGCACGGCTCAGCTGGGGCGTCTTCGAGGTAAGGATACCACTGGAAACCGTCCACGATACTTCCAGGCAAATCAGCCGCAGCCCTCTCGAACGACGGGGTGCGTCTGAAATCGACTTTTAAGGATTCTATACTTGACAGACTTGCCACAGTGTCACTGATCACTCTTTGGACCACAAGTGAGCTGACGGCCCGGTGAAGAGCGGACTCGACCACGCCATGAGCATGCTGCCTCTCGCGAACACTCTCCTTAGCGTACGAAGCTTTGAGAGCCATCATTTCTTGGGAGGTGAAGTCCGGGTGGGATGCGTGTCGCCAGACCACGTCGATCAAGAAAGGGCTAGCAGCTGGCGGCAGGCCCCTTGTTTTTGTCAGAGGTTGATGTGCCTGGACAACCTGCGGAGTCCGAAAATGGTTAACAGTAGCTTCTCCTACCGAATCTGAATCGTCTACTTCCGAATGTCTGTTATCGGCATGCTGGAAATCCGCGTCCTCAGTTTGAGCAGCAGATTCGCGGAAAGAGGTCTCTCTTTCAGCGGGCAAATCTTTCTCTTGACTTTCCTTACGAGAACTTTCTTCAGTTGCATGTTTCGAGTAACCGACAGATAACCGTGCACGTAGGATAACTTTTTCTGTCTTCAAGTTGGGGTCCTCTTGATGCGGTGCATGTCTATCAGACACTTGCACGTCAGTTTGGGAGTCGCCACGTGGCCTCTCCGCGTCTTGCAGTGTCTTCAAGACAGTGCCGTTGCCGTCATTCATCTTTTGGACCACTCTCCACAAGAGTTTGCTCTGCACCGGGGGCGTGGCTCTGACCTTCAGGGTGCGGTCGCCGCTAGACAGGACAGAGACGGAAGAGCATCGGCTGACGTCGCAGTTCGACGCCACACTGGGGGGCATCAAGTCGGCGAGGTCCGCGGTGACTTGGTTCGTCGCGATGCGTCGGTTAACGTCCAGGAGCCAGTCAGTGGAGATGGGGCTCTTAGTCGTTGGTTTAGTCGGGTTTCCGTCCTCTGAGACCACGGGCAGAGACTGATCGACGATTTGCACACCTTCACAAAAGAAACATATTTATGTATCCCTCAAAAGTGAATCATTATTACACCAAGGCAATAAGTTCGTGATTTAAAAAGACGTTTAAACTTTTCGTGGTTCGTGTTAAAGCAAAGAATGAACCCTTTAACCTGTACAGAGGATTTTCAGAGTGTGAGTGGCATAACTAAACAGGCCAAGACCTACTCAAGAAGATCAAACGTTTTGACTTTGAAGAAAATATTGAATACGTCGGACTTTGAAACTTTATTTTCTCAGTGAAAGTAGCGACAACTAACTGATAGTCAGTATAATTTATCTTCACAATATCTAGACCAGTAGATACATCTACAATACCATAAAAGACAAGGTAACGGGCAATCCCTTTTTCACGCATTCGTTTTCCATCGTTAAGGTTTATTCAAACATACCGTGATAATCGCCGCCATCTTGGCATCCTTCGCCATCATCCCCGTTTCCATTGGAGACATTGGTCGACGTGCTCCAGTTTTCCCAACAGACCGTGGCATCCCGGCAAGGTCGGCGGTGGAGGAACCGTACGCTCCGTCTGACAACGCCGTTGGTGAAAACGTTGGCGATGGCTCTTACGAGAGCCTCACTGACGATGCGGACGGCCGACTCCTGGTAGACTGACGGCGCTGGACGCAAGGTGGTGTCGCCAGATCCTGTCTGGGAGGTCAAGACGATGTCTTGGGGTGTGCTAGCCTCGTCGGCACTCCCTGTGGCTGAGGTCGTTTTTGTCATGGTAGAGCATTCAGATTTGATGCTCGAGGCGGATGATAGATTTATGAGTAAATCACTAGATCCCTGCCTTGGTGTAATGTACCCATGGAGATCGAGAATCGCATCACCGTCTTGGAGGACACCTGTGTCTATGTCACGGTAGATCTCATATCCGTTACTTTCATCATCATCGCAACCAATGTCCTCAAAATCATATAGCAACGTCGCATCCTCGCTTAGCAGCGTGGACGTTCCCTTTCCCGCCCACTTTATGCAGGGACTACCCACGGGAGACTCGCTGAGAGGGATACGGTGTTCCCTGTCTTCAAGTTTGAGGAGAACAGACAGGAGCAAAGTGGAGAGAACGGTGACCTCATCATTGCTCTCTAGTGGACCGCCCAGCGCTGCAGGAGATGCGCATTCTGCACATTTTACGGGAAAATCAAACAGAATTTTGAAGATTTTTCCAACGTTTTTATCGACAGGACAGAAAGCTTTAACCCGACTCAACAGGACAAGACTTGAAAAGAAAAGATACAGTCTGTCGTTTATCCTGGGGTACGAACGTAAGCCGCTTTTTAGTCTCAAAACAGTACTTCGGAAAAGTGTTTAATATCACCGTAAGTTAGGAATATGGTTTTGTTTGCATCGGAGAAAACTAATTGAATCACTGATATTTACACAATAAATACAAGTGAAAGCACCATGGCTCAACACTCTTTTCGTTGGAGTTCGTTTATGCTGTCAGCAGTACCTCTGGCCTGCAGAACTGGCCAGCGACGTAACCGCAACGCTGACATTCATGAAATAATAGAGCTAAAGTTTAAGCCAAGTGAACGTGTCATCGGCTCGTTTCAAAATGATGTCAAATACAGTCCCTATTTTTAATCATAACCAAGCAGGCCTATATATAGCGAGACAAACAAGTTTTCCCGATTCGCAACTCACCTTCTGTAGTCGTCATTCTTGAAGGAAACAAAATCTTCCCAGATTTCAGCCTTTTCAACTGGGTTCTACCCGTAACAAAGAAACATGTTTTATTTTCCAGTCTCCATTTCTTGCCTGCCACGGTACTTGTAAAATGTGCGAAAGAATAAACAGAGCTTGGCAATGCGCGTCACGTACGCGCGCGCTGAGAAGTGTTTTCCCTAGAAAATTTTTTGCAAAGATCGTATAGCGCCGCATAGCGGCGCAAGATGGGGAACTTCATCACCATGAATACGCGTAAAACGTTGTTATCACATAGGCGCCATTCTGGTTGGACTACGCCTGCGCAGTGCATGTTAATGCACAGGCGCCGCGACAGGCACGCACACACATTAATTAACGTTCACACTCGAATGGCGCCCATGGTGATAACGCCTTAATGACCGAATTACCCATCTTGCGCCGCTACGCGGCGCTATATAATCTTTGATTTTTAGCTACGTGACAACGGTACCACGGTGCAAAAGAAAAAACGACGATTGTCCTCCGAGTAGGCCTAATGATCTTCAAAAACGAACGACAAAAAGTGTCAGGGCACGACAGGTTCTCGTATCAACTCGTACATTAATCCAATTGTATTATACTCATGCTGAATATACAAGGTGACTCCCGAAAACGCGACCCAATTTCTTAAAATAAATGTGACCTGTCACCTAAAAATAAGCCGAGGGTTGGAATTTTTGAAACTGGAGATTTTGGTATTAAGGAATTCAGTTGAAAAAAGCACTTTTCAATGGTTCATAAATACGGTATTTATGCATAACAGTTAGGGCAAAAGTAGGTGACAATGCGGCATTATTCCGGCGGCTTTGCGTCTTTGTTTCAGACTTTTGTTTCCGCGGCATTTCTGACCAGGCACGAATAATGCTGCTGCTGTCAAACCATGGTCAAACTTTGTAAGCAAAGGAAGTTTCAATTGTTCGATCTTGTTAAAAATTTGGAATGAAATAGAAGGGTTACTCTTTCAAATGTAACAAAACCCCCAAAATTGAACCGCTATAAGAGGAAATAGCGGTGTGCAACTTTACGCTCATTTTGTTGCGACAGGTCACAAATGTCGGACATTGTTGTTTTGGGAACTAGTATCAAATGAAAACTTGGGAACTGAAGAAAATTTAAATACACAAGCTGTACACTGTGGAAAGCAAACCGTTCAGTATCGTAAATTTCAACTTGAGTTGGATTTTATACTTAAAAAGTTTGAAGTAAGCAGATTTCACCAATTCGCACAATAGCTCAGGTCCAAATCATATTTAAAAAGTTGAGATATTATGTGACTTTTCCCAATATCTAGAGGGCGCTTTCTCACCATCTCCTCTCATAGGATAAAACCAGCAATAATAGATCTGTCGATTTCTTATTCACGTACACATATAAAAAAAAGTGATTCTTCACATAAAATGTATGTCGTTCCTTTCTTCTTAAAATGATATCAATTTGGACCGTTTGATCTACATGTAAATGATTGGTAAATTAGAATTCAAGAAAGACTTATGTTTTTCATTCATAAATTCAAAGTATTTCAATCAAAAAGTACTGGATTTTGGTTTAGTGTAAGAAATACATGTATATACACAGTATACATCAGCATTAAGTAATGGCCAAATTTCAAGGCACTTGTTTGAAATTTGGGAAGAACAGGGTTGTTTTGTTTCTAACAACCATGAGGAAATGAACACATTACACACGTAAGTAGCGGCTGCAGAAGGAACCTGTCAATAAGCCTACAAGTTACACAAGTTGTTATCCGCCCCTATTGGTCGGCAAATTAGCACTGGCAAACGATGGCTGGAGTTGCAGATACACATTTGCTCTAAAAACTGGCAAAGTTGGCTACATCAAGGAGCATTGCTAATGAAATTTGTTGAGATACAAGTAGCCTTCTTTGGCATCTGATAGTGAAAAATGGAAGTCTCTCCAAGATACAAATAATAAGATGATTATAAACGCTCCCTTTTTATTGCATTAAACTAAAATGGACTGGCTGATGCCTTTCAGCATTAAGGTAGTACCTAATTTTTTTTTTTCTGAAAGTAATTGCCAAATTTGAAATTAACACTTGACAGAGGGCACTAATAGACAGAATTGAGTTTAATGTTGTCAATGCCGATAAGGTTTTTCAAAAGGGTGCATTATGAATTCAGTTTGACTTTGATAAACCACACCCCGGCAAGGCCCTGCTCATACACGATCCCAACATGGTTGTCGTCGATGGCCGTCAGACAGGAGTACTCGCTCGTCCCAGGGTCCACCACCAGGGCGCCCACCCACGAGTCCCCCCAGTCGGCGCTCCAGCGCAGCGTCAGGTTCTGCCGGTGGGCCTCGTTGGCCGGATTAGTGAAGTAGAGCCGGCTGCCGTGGAGGAGAATGCTGCCGGCACAGACTGGGTCGATCAGGGTGGGGTTGAAGCGGATTGTCTCTACCGGGATCGTGTTGGCGCCGTCGTCACTGCTCATGACAATGCGGCAGGAGCAGTGGTAGCGACGCTCGTTGCGAACGTTGAAGAGAACGGTGCCGTTGTACAGCTCAACGATCTTGATCAAAAGATACACAGTACAAGAAACAGGAAGGTTGTTAACAGGTTCCTATTTCACGGCACCCTTCAGTGAACAAATTTGCTAAACCTTGGAATAATGTTGCGGAGCGAAACGTTTACCAGCTCAAACTTTATGTGATATGAATTGCTTGTGACTAGCTCTGAACTGTTTTTTTGACCAGCAAATTTGCTAAGCAGTGTTTCCATGTATGACACAGATTTATCTGAGTTCATGTGGACAGCTAGCATAAAAAATCAATTTGGCCAAAACTTTTCTTACGGCAAATCCTAACAGCCAGCGAATCAAATTCTGACTGCCGCATACAATGAGAGTTACCTGAACTTCAGTGGGTGCAAAGTCTCCTGGTCCTAAGGGACTTCTGTATGGAATATGGTACACAACACCTGCTTTCGCCCACGTATCCCCGTGATCTGAAAAATCACACACAAGGAATATTTCGAGATCAACTGTGTTTTTACCTTCAAAGCCACAATAAAAATGGCACTTTATCCCCCCCAAAACAAATGGCAGAGAAAGGGCATTTGTGGAAACATTATGTTGTCAACTCTTAGGGGGATCAAAGATCCTTTGGGATTTTTCACTTAAAATGATAAGTCAAATGTGAATGAATCAAATAGCTATCAAAGCTGCTGCATCCGACGTAACTTCTAGTGTGAGACAGCTGCTTGTACAAATGCACGTATTCGTATTTTTGTGCTTTGGCCTGGAGTGGAGAATGGAAAAGTTAAAAAAGAACGATGTGAACGGATTATTCAGTATTGCTCGTGCTAACCGTCGCTAACGATGCAAAACATGGACAAGATGTTCAAGTCATTGGTGTGGCCGCAGGCAATCAGTCGATCCTTGTATGGCGCATATTTCTTCTGGATTCCGTAGCCCGGACCAGCCGACCAGGACAGGTTCTTCAAGGCTGCGTTGTTGCTGGATATGTCCACGGGGCGTTCCCACGTCAACCCCCAGTCGCGGCTGCGCAGCATGTAGTTACTGCGGACGTAATCGCGCTCTGGGCATGCAGTGTGGGCGCAGACCGTGTAGAGAACGATTAGGGTGTTCTTGACCTCGTCGACGATCACTGCTCCAAGGTTCAGACCATCTTTGGCTTGGAAGTCATCTGCGAAGTAACATACAGTCACAAGAAAAATCAGTACAGGGTTGACTCAAAAAGATGCAAATTGCACAAGTTTTTAATGAAAAATGATAAACAACAAGTATGCCTTTTCTAAAATGTTATCTGAAATTCTGGATAAAACAAAAATATGTCTTGAAGCTTATAAGTTCCAGATGATGTATCTCATTTGATGGAAAAAAAATTTAGATCAAACTCAACTTGGTAACCATGGCATGGGCCTACATCATCTGTCTTACAACACAAGTCTGTAGCACAGACACTGTCTAAATACTAAATTGCAACATCAACGTGTACCTCACAAGGATACACACCTACAATAAACTGAGTTGGTGTCCAAAGGTCCCCGGCCCCATCGCCGTTAAACTTGTCCGGATGTGACATCCGTAGAGCGAGGAACTTGGCACCGTAGTCCCCCGACGAGAACTTCCTGGCCTCGGCCAGCGCGACCAGCGTGCCGTTGGGCAGCCGGGCGGCAACAGGGATGCGGAACGCGGCCACGTCGCCCACCACCTGGGGCTCCCACAGGAGTTGGGTCTCGACCACGTGCGGCCTGAATTCGGCCAGGAAGGTCGGGAGCGACGATAATACCGCCGCTATCCCGAGCAAACCTCCCAAACATACGCCAAGTGACGACGTCGCCATGACGGTTGTTTACCATGCGTTTCAATGGTCAGCTGATCACGTGCACGTGATCGCGTGCAAGTAACTCGCGTGCGATCGTGGGTAGAATAGCGATAGAGGGCGCCCTACACAAACACCACGGCACAAGTCACAGTGGTACCAACTTGGTGACCGCACACGGAGCTCGCCGATAGAGCTCCATATGCCAGGGGTACAGAACATGAAACTAATACGTTAAGAACACTAAAATCCATGCAAAAGAAATTTAAAAATCAAGCATCAATTAACATTGTTTTCGGCGTTTTAAAATTTGCCTTTGTGTAGGGCCTATAAAAATACCTCAAGGAAAAGCGCAGACAAACCAGGCGATAACGCAGAGGCCGGGGGAGTAGCGGGGGTGAGCAACATCTCCCCCCCCCCCACATGAGGCCTGCCCCCATGTCTCTCCCCCCCCCCATGAGAAGGAAAAGTATCTGGTGACAGTTCAAGTGGTCAGTGTTTTAAATGTGACCAAGTCAACTGAGTGCACCCTCATTAAGGAAACGGGGGCCTCGGGAGTCCCCGGCCCAGCCGCACCTTAGCAAACGGATACAGAAACTGATCTCGATGAAGGGTTGTCCCTGCTCTCCCTGGCAATGCTAGCAATGATAGATTTCCCAACCGGACGGCGAGGAAAGTCAAGTGCATGATACAAACCCTGCATAGACTCATACAGAAAAACACCTCTCGACAACTTTCCCCACCTTTCTTTCCCCTGAGATATGCGGGTGTTTACGCAGTGCAGTGCATTCATCATCTATCAGTAAGACGAATGTGTGGAGTCTAAAGTACGACTTGTGAACGCACGGGTTCTTTGATGGATGGCAACAATATATCCTTCCCTATCAAAATATTTTTCTTCGGAGCACGCTGAGTGCTCAGTTGCTTATGAAATGTGTGCGAACTCGACTGTTGGAGCAAGAGCAGAGTTTTAATATCCGGCTGTCCGACAGTTTTTCGGTGGCCGCGGTCAAAACCTCTGGTGTATTTAAATGGCGTAATTGGCGTACTGCGCTTGAGTTTTTGTGTACATGGCCTACGTACGCTTTCGCCCAATAATTTGTGTGATGGCGGAGTTAAAGTGACGGCATACATTGGGGCTACAGATGTTACATTACGAGTCATTTAGGCTGAGTTTGGGTGGCTCCTTCTCGTATGTTCAGGAACAGCTCGATTTGTTGTTTGTGGGTCGGCTGCTCGAACGCTGGGAACGTACAACCGGTTATCGCTACGAGTTACTTGTAGCATGCATGCAAGCAACATGCAACATGGCGGCGTCCTCGTACATTCTTCTATTGTTTCAGCTAATTTCTTTTCCATGAAAAAAATCATAACTGTCATGGAAAAATATTTATGTTAATAATTAACTGGAGACAATGGAAAGTTTTGCTCAATTATTGTGCAAAACTTTCCATTGTCTCCAGTTTTGTAAGCCATCTCGATGGTTTGCAGTTTTTTAATAATCAAATCTCACGAGTTTTCCCGTGCGTTCGTGTAAAACCCTGACGAGGAGGTGGTGTGTGAACTTGTTCCGAGAACAGTGTTCTTGGGTCATGTTCCCGCGGATTCGAGCGCGAGACGCGCGAAACCCATGTCAAGAATAGACCTCTCGAACTCGACTTTAATTAATGCATGCACAGGTTATTTACATCAACCCAATTAAATGGGGATATCACGGTAACCCAAATTAAAAGTCTATCGTATCTGTAGAGAAGTGGCAGGGTTACAAATGGCGACGTGATTATAACCAACAAAAACTGACCTGAAACGTAATGACGTCAATGGATAGTGTCCCACCTCATTGCCGTAGTTAAGGCGCTTTATGTTACAAAATGTGACGTCACGTCATTATGTTACAGGTCAGTTGGCACCCCATGAATTTCTCGTGCCCCATCCAGGTTAGGTCCCTCCCGCACCCCTAACCAAGAAAACGTGCAAGCTATGCGTCTAAATGGTAAAAAAAAAAACGCCTTTGCTGTGCCATTTTAAGCTCCATGGCTATAAATCAAGAAGAGATTCAACGGGGAGACGGAACACTGCACGTGGACGTACATTCTGCACAGCGCACCTTGTTTTCCGGTGACGACATAAATTGCTGGAAAGTAATGGACCAAATCCAACATGTGCGCTGCGAGGCCCCGTGGGGAAGGTGTAGGATCGGTTCTGATCAGATTTTAAAAAAGCAAATAACCGTACGTGCCTTGACGGTGATGCCAACCTATGCAGAACGAACACAAACACGGGTGCACCTGCACTTCAGCCAACTGTACAAAGGCAAATTTGGCCGGGGCAATCACTGGATTTGAGGAAGCAGAGAGGGCCGCGGTAGAAAAAAAATTCCTGAATTTCAACGGTAAATTTACTCCACTATTTTTTGCTACGGTCTGCGATGCGGTCGGGTGGGGTGAGGTGGGTTGGGGTTGGGTTGTGTGAGTTGGGTTAGGTGGGGTTCGGGCGGATTGGGGTGCACGTGTTCAATATCAACAGAAAGCCAGCCATGTTTGCAATAACACAGAATACTGCAATTCATTAAGTGGTTGCGTCCTGTTAACTGGTTGCGCACTGGTTGCGTGCTAACACGTACGTTCTGCAGTTAACTGAATTTGCTTTCTTATTTCTAAAAGGCTCCCTACTCCGTAGAATACTCATTGCGTCGTTAAGAGCCCGAATCATGAATGAACTTCGTACCGGGCCAGCACCCGCCCGGCGAGGAAGCGAAGACGGGTAAACACGGCCGAGATGCGGTGGCGGCTGCGGTGCAAAACTCTCCACCCGCAACCTCAGCCCCGAAGACCGCAAATGACTAGATCAGGATAAACAAGACTCCCAAGAAATCAACCAACCGATATGGCAATGGGGTCGCAGCTCTTTGATGATGTCGTTCCCGCGATGATTGATGTGCATTCAAGAGGAACACTGCTCGGCGAGTGCCGGCGACTTCGTGATGTTGACATCAAACAGAAGGGGGAACATATCTGCCAACCCAGAGCATACTGGGCTGTTTTGGCCGGTCCGAAGATAAATATTGACTCGTATTCCGCTGATCTAAATCACTCTTTTTCCCTCTTCTGTTTTATACAATCTCTTCCTTGAAGACGTATAAACTGTCATTATTTTTTAGACTATCATCTTGTCAACAACCCAGTAGTAAGCGAACATTAGCGCGGAAGAAGAGATGTGCTTTATTGAAAGTTTAATCAAATCAAGGAGTAGGCCTTTTGCGTAGGGGAAAAGGCTCGTTTGACAAATGTGAACAGATTCAGTTGCATGACATCAATTTGATTTCATTGACCGAATTCATTTTTTCCCTCAGGCTGGTTTGTCCCTCAGAGGTACGCAGTGCGTTTTGAAATATCTACATCCGTCCATTAAAGGCACAAATGGACGGAAGTTTCTTGACCGCTGCCCGATCGCAATCACGGCAAAGACAATGGTGGATGCCGCAGACAGAATCTCTCGCACAAAATTCAGTCTCAAGAGTGACGTCAATCCATTAAACGACAATCGACAAGAGGTCACCTTTCAGAGACGTTTCCGGATACACAAAAGACAGAGCTCGAAAAACTTTTTGAATTGGCCTTCTTTGTTTAACATGACAAAGTAGACGCCCTGTGACCAAATCACAACAAAAACTGGGATTTTTATTTCCATTTTAAACAGAAATTCAACAGTTGTTCTTTCCCCTTCACTAACACAGTCCTCATATTTCTGACTAACTGATTCAAAAATCCGACCATACTATCAGATGCAGTTCATTTTTATTCCACAACACGACGTTTAGAAATACACGAACAAAATATGCAAATGTTATATTCTCTATCTATAAAAATAAGCCATTTTTTTCGTGCGAAATGTGAGGTGAAAAATGCCAAGCGTCCAGCTACAGGTGATATGACGTTCATTGTGTCCGCATACTCTATAGCGAGGCTTTGCACAGCAGTAACACAGAAAGCACACCTTTGTCGACAATTATAACAACTAAATGTTTCACATTCGCGCAGAGGTAAGAACAGTTCTTCCAGATGGCATATAAAATTTCTAATTCGATCTGTTACCGGTTGAAATTAATCTTTCCACAGCTGTAGGTAAAAAATCCGTTATTTGTAGGAATAAATGATAAATAAACAAAGATTCTCACCTAAATAAATCACTGCATTATAATCCGAAAGTTCACAGAGCTCTTGTTGCATTGGAATAGAACGTTCTAATCACCGTGAAAAAGTCTAATTTCGCGGTGCGACGATGCCGCGAACTAGGACAAAAATTTCCATGACACAAGATGGCATGGTACAAAGCTGCAGCGAATTTAACCATCATATCATTAAAACTTCATATCAACACTACGTCATCGTCAATAATATGCGCATTTAGATAACGACCTGTAGAATTGTTATTCTACTCTCCTTGTGTACAGGGAATGAGCGCGCAAACAAGAAGTAGGCCTGTAATGTATAAGCTTAAAAGGCACACAATTCGGGAGAAATAGCGCAAATTATTTCAAGCATTGTTACATCCAACTACATTATTGCACCATAGAAACAGTTGCTATCATTTTGCCATGCGAAAACCAGAACTGACAGAAGCTTAGGGTAGCCTTTGTCTTAAAATATGAACCCATAAATCGAAGATGGTATCCATCTCGCGCACTGGTTTCCGATAATACATTCGCTTTGCTTGTTGTGTTTTGGTTTACCGCGTGTGCAAACTTTGACGTCCATTCTGACGAAAGGGTCACTTTCGTGTGTGTATCTTCTAATTAACAAATTTTGACTACGTTATTAACACTTGTTTGACGATCGTAATACGCTCTATGGAGTGAAATATTAACGAAGATAAGTAGAAGTTGGACTGGTGTATCAAGGGCAAACTGTCAACACTTTTGCACGTCTTTACACGCAGCCACCCAGAAAAACTACGGTAAAAGCTTTCAAATATTCCCTCGCCAGTTTTTGACACGATATTTACATTACTTGCTCTTCTTTGCGTGAGACGGAATGACCCAACGACGACATCACAATTGGGTTAAACTCCAGCCAATTCGTCAATGCCTGGCAGGAAAGGAAACGAAAACCAATGCTCCTTGCTTGTTTGAAGTGGTGCGCCTTATTTCAATCGTCTCGTTTGGGGTGACCGTTTTGAGTCGAACTTTGGGAGGTTTTTTTCCTCTCTGGGGTCAAGGTCGTCGCACTTGGTATCACCGAGATTCCATAAGCAAGAGCACTATTTGTTCACAGGTGAACACATCCATTATACCTTAAACACAGATTAATCGCGAACTAACATGACCACGTTTAGCTTCAATATTATCCTCAGTGGCTTCGCCGAGCTCTTCTCAGATGGGGACAAGAGGAAATTAAAGGGGCAAGAGTTCCCACAAGGAAGGAAGTTCCCCTCCAACCCCAGGCTACGCCCCTGGTTATCCCTACACGCAATTTTACAATTTCGCACGCCGAAGATCACTCAAGACTAGCGTGGAGTTAAAAGCGAAGGTGCCAAAGGTCGTTAGGCCTGTGCGTGCTGAAGCTTAAATCCTGCAATTTACTCAAAGTGATTCCAATACATTCGATTCATTTCGACCGCACAAAATGAGAAAGTGGAGCAAATGGCAAACCCTTAACCAAGTTCCAAGTTGGGTGACATTTCCATATTATATTGAAAGCAGACACGCGTACCCCTATTTCGTCCGTCGTGTCGACCCATATTTAGATTCAATCCCATTAGCCCAACCGTGCGTTTTACTCTTCGTTCCGACGTTTCGTGCAGGTAATGGACTGATTCGAGACTTCAATGCCGTCTTTTAAACTCATCTTTCCTTGTTTTGGAGTCTTGCAAACCGTCCACGTTCATCGAAGCTTTAACTTGATCTTTTTTTTCACCTCAAGGCTGTACTTTAATTTTACCCATTTTGATCAGAGGAAAGATTTTATCTTTAACTTAGGTCATGTCGTATATTACAATTTTAAATAAATTATACATCATGAAAAATATAAGCAAACAGCCTCGTGAACAAAAATGAATGACTGGCAAGATTTTTGCATTCGTTTCATTTAGGCAAACCATTCATTCCTCCCACTGAGCCCCTAGCTGGATCGAGAGAAGGCGCAATTACCAATGGAGCGTCAACAGTTTGAAGTTTCGTCCTATACATTTACTCAGAATTCCGTTAAAGTCGGGAGTAGGCGACTTTTCACACACATAATGATAATTGTTCTTTTAAAATAACATTAAAAAGCATCGTTGCTTACGTTGCGACGTCATCATGCTATGAAATGTCTATTAAAATCAGTTAAATTCCATCTGATAAGGGCCCATAAGATAACAGCACATTTATTTTCTCCTGGTCAAAGTTTATCAACTGGCGTTACATCAAAATGATAGTATCTGAGTTTGGCTGTCATTCGCCAACTATTACAACACACTGCACAGAATAAAGCGGTCTCCATCTTGCACATGGCGTAAAAAGCTTGCTTCGAACGTCTGACTTTGGGGGGGGGGAACGTCACACACCAATAGCCACGTGCGTGAGACAATAATTCAACAAGCTGAGCTTTGCTTTGGGATTTGTACGGGAGAGAGGGTGATCACCCTCTACGACATTTACATTTGCAAAAAAGCTTCTTCAGACCTTGTCTGTAGGCTCTGTACTGTAGCCCGTAGATGAGCGGGTTGACACACGAATTCAACTGTGCGGCGACAATGGCGGTGTTCACAAACCACCCGCCAAAGTCAAGTTGCCCACCGAGATTGTATTGCAAGAAGGCCCATTGGTCAGGAGACCAGCAGATGACGAAGAAGATGAAGACAACGAACAGCGTCTTGGTGACGTTCTTGCGCTGGATGTTCATCGGAGGTTTGGGGCCCTGACTTCGGCCGGGCTGACTGCTGGTGCCGGCACCTTCTCCCCCGTAGGCGCTCACCATGGAGTTCTCCATCGGGCTGTTCTGCTCCACGACCGAGATGGAGTTTTGGTGGTCCTTCATGACTGAGATCGTGGCTACGGTCGTGGCGCCCGTCGCAAGCCGGGGTCGCCTGCTCGCCACCTTCAGGTTCTGCTGGCGGAATTTCAAGGCAATTTTGACGAAGGCGAAGGTCATGATGATCGTGGGTATGAAATACTCCCAGAGAAAAAGGATGAGCCCGAAAACCTTCTCCATTGCACTGGTATACCCGGGGGCTTCGTAGATGCAGTCAATCTTGTCCGGGAGAAACTCATACCGGAGCAGCGACACCACGAACTGCCAGAACGGACCGATTACCCACGGCACAACGGGGAGCAGTTTTGCCACAATGGTACTAGCGAATTTCATGGAATAGTAGATGGGGTGGATGACCGCCAGGTACCGCTCGATCGAGATGGCCGTCAGATTGATGGTCGAGGAGGCGAAGATACCAAACAGGAGCATCCGTGAGGCCCAGAACTTGCAAAAGATCTGCCCGAAGAAGTAGTTCTGTGGGGGTGGCACTTTGAACATCTCCGTCAGGGTGACCGCGACGAGGAAGACGGACGCCACGAAGTCGATCATGGCCTGGTTGGCTATCAAAGTGTTGGTGGTGTTGCGCTTGTTGGAGCCCCACAGACGTACGACCACGATGCAGACCAGGAGGTTACCGATGATGCCCACAGTGCCGATGCAGCAACGGATGACGGGAAGGAGGATGGTGTCCGGGTGGAACCAGCCTTCACCCTCGGTGGACATCGGCGTCTCCAGGGTGCTGTTTGCAGGCAGAGTACTGACACTGGTGCTGGACGCCATTTTTTTTAGCACCGTGTCCCGACACAAAAGGTAAAACGGGTCAGGAACGTCAACCCCAATCCGTGGAGCGAGTAACATTCATTCCGTGGGCTCGGTGAGCGCAGCTTAAATTGGTGGCAATCTGATTCCGACGGATAGGGCATTCAAAGCGACACTTGGCGCCGCAGAGTCATGTTTAGGCGAAACGTCACGCGAGCTTTTAACCTACGAAATGTTGCTCGATTCATGACTACTCCCTCCGGCGTGCGTTTAATACCAGCCACTTTCTGGTGTATTTGGCATTCATTGTACCTACCGCAATCCAGCGATCGCCGCAGGGCTGAACTCTTCCCACGTCTGCGTTGTTTTCATCTCCTTTCGACGAGTGTTTTGTTCAGGTGTCTCCCTGTCGAGGATGAATTTTCATCGGGCGTGAGTGCTACATCCCCAAGATGCAAAATCCGCGACTTTTCTGACGTCAAAGTCCTCACCAACATCGACAGTTTGTGTAGAAGCCGGCGTGTGATATACAACGGGAAAATGGACCAGATGATATATCTGTTGACGCAAGACTCGCCGCACGAATCACTCCGAGTATACCGATACGGCATCCCGGGCATTCCTTGTCTTGATTGGTTTGTCCACCGACGATAGGTGTGTCTGTTCAGCCAATCAAAAGCCGGTCTAGAGCTGCAGCCGTTCGCAGCAACTATGGCAACAGTGACCGCGCTTTCCACGAGGGAATGGCGCCGGTGAGCACTCGGCGCGGTATACAATGAGCGCCTACAAAGCTGTGCCGACGTAATTGCGGTCCGCCAGCACGCCCATAGCCAGCAATAAAACTCATCTGACAGAGTCATTTTCCTTGACTGTTCGCTGTAAGTAAATACGGAGGGTTGTCTTGTTTTGAGACATGATACATGTCACCACTATAGTGAACTACATTGAGTCATGTTCTTGTTGACTTTCCCTGTAATTAATATTTTTATATGCTTCGATTTTTGGCTACAATATTCTCAGTGGGATTCCACAGTCACTCAAGACTAAGCCCCGAATGTCGACGGAATTGCCGAGTGCGGAGACAAGTGCATGATTAAGGGGTAGCTGGTGGCTATCAATGTGGATTTCCCCTATGCCAAAGAACTAATCAAACTTGGCCATCTGTGATCGCATTTCAGTGGCAAGTTCCTACGCCCAATTTCTTGAGAATCTCAAACCCATCTGGAAAGGACCCTGGGGCGTGTGCGTGTGGGGGGGGTGTCTGTAATGGGTGTGTGTGGGAGGGGGCATCCCTTACTTTTCTTCACAGTGGGGAGGTCTGCCTCCCTTAACAGATCCCCTAAAGTGTAGAGGCTTTGCGTGGTAGCCATCTTGCAGGACAGTCCTTTTGTTCGACAGGGAAGCCTCCTTTGTGCATGACCCTGTGAAATGAAAGCACTGGCCTGCAAGATGGCAGACATGCAAACCCTCTATCGCAGGCACTATACGCCTACTGGTGCACATCCAAAGAAATTCCCCGGTCGACATCGCTCGAATGATCTCACGACTGTCCATTCTAGTTTCAAAATCGTCACAACGTCGCCGTTGTTCGAGTCACAGGTGGACCTTGACCACTCAGCGATGACAGCGATGTCGTCATCGGGACAAATCCGATCGGTTCAAGTCCACCTGCGGTGCCACAGCTCCGATGTACAAGCTTTGAAGCGCTACATTAATAACCCATCATCGGGCGGGCAAATTCTCGTCTAAAACTCATCTTTTCACTAGCCGAACCAAATACGAGAGTGAACTGACTTGCAAGTAATAAAGTTATCATCGAAAGATCACGCACATTATCCCCAAACAAGCAGGCTCCTGCAGTTTGACACACTGTGTGTCACACATAGCGACAGACATGAAATAGACACTTGATAGTTAAGCACAGACGGGACCACACATTAGGTATGAGAGAATTCACAGGCTACGAAGCACAGAGAGACCACATCAGAGCCTACAGGAAGGGGTCATCAATTCTCGCTGGGGGACAATAAATCTCGATCAAAGTAGGCTGCCGCCCTCTCTGAAGATGGCACACAGACATGACGAGGAAGTCTGTCCCAACGCGCTGCCCTTCCTGTTGTCATCAGCAACATCACTTCATCAGATCAGGTGTTGTGTCAGGTTTCCTCGGTAGGTTCGCCCGGCGTGAAATCTGGTCGTCAGTTACAGGTCCTCCGGGGAAAACAATCTCACCACTTACCCAGCTGGAATGACCGTTTGACGACGCTGAAGCAGATGCTGGGTGTTTACATCTGTCCCTCTCCACACGAGTCGCCTCTTTAGAGTTTCCTCCAATCCGTAGAGAGACGTCTCCATGCACGCTGCTCTTTATAATACACATTTGCTTTAACAACAGAAAATCAAATTTATTTTTCGTTGGAATCTCGCTTTCTTTGAATTCAATAGTGTCTCATTTACACACATGCACTCGAAGTGCAGAAATGGGGCCTGTTGGTTTTATTCCGATCTGGATCTCGATCATTGATCCCATCGCTGGTTCGCTGTATCCCTTTGGAGGGGGGTTGGTGTCAGTGAACCAACGACGGATCGCGAAACGAACAGGCCCTAAGTCGTTGGCAGATGCGGGCGCAATTCCAGCGACACTCTGAGCTTTTGCAGATTAAAATTTTGTACCCGTTTCCTGGGTCACAGTTCAACAATTTTTAAACCACGAACCTCCAATGATGGTGCTGCAAAGGCAGGGATCGTCATTAGAACTGTCTCAACGTGTAACAAAGCTGAAAGACGTTGAAGTCAATCGACGTATAATACGTAACACAAAATATCGAGCGCCTTTATCCACCTGAGTGTGCGATGCGTACCTATGAGTCGAGTTTGTCTCTTGAACAGTGCCTAATGCGTAGGCCCCTTTACAAACTCAGTGTCCCGACCAAAATAGCCTTCGATGGCATATTACGATGCATCCTCATTACTAACCCAAAGATTGCATTTGTTTAAGACAAACCTTTAATACAAATGTCACAGCGATTCCTCACTGAAAATCTGAGTTATTTATAGTCGTGGGGATTTCAAAAAGTGATCATTTATAGGATTCAGCCAAACACGATGGCCGATTTTACAAAAGAACAGCGTTACCCGAGGCAAGCCTCACGGTGTGCATGAGTGAATACGACACCTCTGGTTACATGTCGTTCATTATTTGAGCGTTTACCGTCAGTGTCGCTCAACTGACGCCATGCTTATACCTGAAGTTATGTTGAACACATACGGGCCCTCACATTCAGCGCCGGTCGATATTTAGCCAATTATGTTTTCGATCGAGGGATTACTCATTCATTTTTTTTTCATGCCAGTTCTGTACACACAACACTGAAAACGGTATATTTCTGTCTTGTGCCAAATACATTCCTTGTTAAGGTACACAACGTGCAGAAGTGTCTCTGCCTGAATGCGTACGTCTTTTACGTTACCAATGGTACGATTGCAAGGTTTTACGTGTAGGTTATGCGGTTAAAGAAAACTGATTAGTTAAATGACGCGTGGGAGACAAAGGTTTATTAGAATTTAAAGTTAAGGAAAATGTAGCCTTCTTTACGTCGGAGAAAGGGATTCCCGAGGAAAGAACTTGGCAAATAAAGTTGCTGATATTCTTAGCTGTTTCCATATTCATTACAATGCATGTATTATCACCTCCAGTAATGTTTTTAGGCGTTATACTGACACGTGACATCTGCTGAATATAATCAATATTATGTATGTATCTGAACCATTTGTTTAGCGTATAGGCCTAATTGCAATGGAGTTAGACCAATGGCTTGGTTTGGTTTTGGCTCGGCGTGGTTTGGTTAGGTTTTAATATGAATAATCTCTTGGGACGTTGAGTAATGTTTACCGACGTGCGCGTTTATAATGCGTTGAATGCACCAGCACTCCCGAGAAATACTTTTCTCTCTTGTGGGTGTGAGGTTTCCGTACGGGGGAAAACAACTGTTAAAGGCCGCGGTTCAAACTTGGCGAGAAAGTGAGCAGGAACACGGATTAATGTTCCATGACGTCAAATTAGCTTCGCTGCCTTCATGCTGTTTGTTGAAATTTGTGCAATACTTCTGGCATTAAAGCCTCATGAAACCCTCAAGAAACCTGATATTTCGGCCGCAGCAGTGGGGGACAAAATAAATTCATGTTGTTCTTGAAACAGACAAAAGCCTCACGTCCGCGACTGAAGCAAACCGAACTGGGAGATCGAGGACAGATTAAGTTCGGTCTGCCGGCAAAACTCCGGGCGCTGTCAAGCTATTGATGGCGAAATCCCGCGGGAGTTTTGGTTCTACGTTTTTTCGCGGCCACTCCGGATAAACAACTGAAACGCGATTCTTTGTGCAGACGTTGCGGGAACAGCAAGGTCCCCGCACCATTTATTACGCGAGCGCGATGAGGCCGAACAAAACCAATCAATTCCGTGGCCTTCTATCAGACTGGACTGCAAAATGGTACGGTATAGTGAAAAGGGAAATCTGGAATTTTTTCCTTTCACTGAAGGCGGACGAAGACTTAGTCTTGGATGGGAGAAATTGCAAGGCATGCGGGGACGGCCGGTTAGACCTGAAAAACACAGCAACTTTTGGCAGGCTCAGAATCTCTAGAGGGCGAGCTTATATCCAAGGTCGTTCACATTTACTGTACACAACCCGAGGCTTTTCCAAACCTCATGATTAATTAGAGCGATGTGTTTTCCCTCGAGGGCTCAGACTGTTGCGAATGTATTGCCCACGAGTGAACCCGACGAATAAACATGTCTTTTATAGGGAAAATAAAGCCAGAAATGCGCGTCATTCAGTGCAAGAATACAAATTTGGTTACCGTTTCCCGAGGGAAGAGATGAGTGATACTTTTCGCTGGCGTTGCGAACGTGACGAGACTATCAAATCCAGTCTTCGTGCCTGAGACGGAAATGAGACTAAGAATACAAAAGACTGCAGGCTGAGACTTGCAAACTGTGTGATACTTTGAGCTATTATTCTCATCACATTTTTAAACAATCTTTACTTGTTTACACTGGTATTTCGAATAGACGAACAATGCAATACCAAACCGAACGACCGACCGATCAGTCAAGCAAGAAGTTCTGTATCTTAATTTTAACTGACCACAAGTGCATCAAACGCCCCTCCCTAAAAGTCTTTTTCACTCCCTTGCAATGGACATCCTTGCTACTCCGGTCCCCGCTTTTTTTTCCCTCGGCCTCCATGGAATTTCGGCCCCGCTGTCCATAATCGAATCGCATCGGTAGCGATAGGTACTGGCACCAAATCCCTCGCGTGTGCGCCGCGTGTGTGCGCTCAATCGGGTAGAGCGAGCGCTAGCCGAGGGAGTCGTAATTTGACACCACCTTCCTTTGGCGGGCTGCAAGAAAAATGTCGATGCTTGGATGGATATAGCCAAATGCCCGGCCTGTCATGTAACCGGCAGCTGGATCCGATTTGCGTCTCTTAGGAGAATTGTCACCGGACGTGTTTTCGTGGCTTAATTAGTTTTGCCAAAGTCCCGG